TTGTTATGATTTTAGTGTCGGACACGAGAAACAAGAAAAGATTTCATAAACGAATCAAAACTCATTCAAGAAGGAAGACGTGAAATGACTGAGAGAGAGAGACAGAGAGAGAGACAGAGAAGGACCAGAGCAAGAGAGACAGAGAGAGAGACAGGAGAGAGAGAGACAGAAGAGAGAGAAGACATGACAATGAGAGAGAGAGAAGAGACAGAGAAGAGAAGCACAGCATAGTGCTAGACAGAGAGACCAAGAGAGAGAGAGAGAGCAGAGAGAGAGCAGAGAGACAGAGTAGAGAGACAGGACGAGAGAGAAGACAGAGACACGAGGAAGAGAGACGAGACAGAGAGACAAGATAAGACAAGGATGAGAGAGCAGAGAGAGAGACAAGAAGAGAGACAGAGAGAGAGGAGACAAGAGAGAGAGACACAGAGGAGAGAAAGAGAGATGCAGAGAGAAGAGAGAGACAGAGACAGAGAGACACGAGAGAGAGAGAGAGACAGAGACAGAGAGAGAGAGACAGAGAACAAAGAGACAGAGAGAAGAGACAGAGAGAGAGACAGAGAGAGACAGAAGAGATGAACAGGAGAGAGAGACAGTGAGAGAGACAGATGAGGAAGACGAGAGCATGAGAACAGCAGAGAGAGACAGGAGGTGAACAAGCGAGAGAGAGACAGAGTACAGAGACGAGAGAGACAGAGTCGAGCGAGAGAGACTGGGAGAGAGCAGAGAGCAGTTAACAGAGAGTAGCTAGAGAGGAGAGAGATAGAAGATGAGACATGTCAGAGAGTCAGACGATAGAGAGAAATGAGAGAGAAGCAGAGAAGAGAGGATCAGAGAGAGAAGAGACAGAGAGAGAGAGAGACAAGGATAGTACAGGAAGAGGGAGAGAGAGGGCAGAGATACACAAACATTGTTGATCAGCCTGTGATGATTGTGTGTCTGAGTGAAAAAGCACAAAGACACACCAGATCAAGATCAAAGCATCACAACATCTACACTATCTCACACACAACACTCACTCACACACACACACACACACACACAGATCATGAGATAAATGTAAAGCTGTGTGGATCTCAGGCAGGAAGGAGCGAGGCAGGGGGTCAGGTCAGGGTCACGTTAGCTTCACACAGTTTAACACACACACACACACACACACACACACACACACACACACACACACACACAGATAACCTCAGTGTGTGTGTGTGTGTGTTTGCAAGAGAGAGTGTGTTACTACATTAAGTCTACACTCATCCCACAGTGGATTACATTCAACACTGGAGATGTGGGACAACAAGGCTGAACTAAAGCTACTAAGAGACACACACACACACACACACACACACACACCTACACCTACACACACCCACACACACACACACACAAAGCTTGGCTATAGGCAGCATTGAAGAGCTTTACACCATATTGACATCTCACAAGCTGTAGATCAAACCTTGAGTCAATTGTGTCACATTCGTGTGTGTGTGAGAGTGTGAGTGTGTGTGAGTGTGAGAGTGTGTGTGAGTGTGTGCGTGAGTGTGTGCGTGAGTGTGAGTGTGTGTGTGTGTACCTGTGTTGGCAGTACTGGCCGTAGTGGTTGTCTCCACAGTCACAGGTGTATCCGTGGGAGGAGCTTGGCTTCCTGTGGCACTGAGCATCGTTCTCACATGGATTCAGGTGACAGGCGTCAGTGCAGCCTCTCCCATAGTAACCTGACAGACAGATGGATGGATAGATAGATTATTTATCCTCTAGGGGAAAGTCATGTGTCCATTATGATGTAATGGAGATATGCAGATTGTACTTGCAGATGCAGATCACCATCTGATTGATATTTGTATATTTATTACATGAATATTAAGTTATGAAATGAGCAGCTCCAATATTTACAGATTCAAAGATGAAATAACAAAAAGAGTGAAAGCATCACGTCACACACCTGCTGCTGTGTTGTTATCTCACACACACACACACACACACACACACACACACACATAGTCACACACACACACACAGTGGCTCCTTGTAAAAATAAACTAGTCTCAGCAGCTGCAGTCTGTATGAAAAGTATGAAAGTATGAAAAGACCCAAAATGAGAAATTATTCACGTTATTTTAGAGACTCATGAAATGAAAAACTTTTCTGCTAAGATTGAGAAATGTGAAATTTTTATATTGCAAGATGTTTAAAATGGAACATGAGGTTTGTGGCTGGTGGTTTGTATCTGAACAGTTGCAGCTTAAAATCCCATTTCCCTCGTCTCGCTGTTCTTTTTTCCTTCAACATAAAAAGACTGATCATCCAAGTTTATCCCAGAGGATCCAGAAAACACAGGGAGAAAACTCAGAGAAGTTTCACTGATTCATAAACATCAGACGTCTCAATGTCCTTCACATACACAGGAAGCATCACAGGTCGCTGAGAGCTGAAATATAGTCAACATACACACAGTGCTCAGCTAAAGTTAAAACAGGTTTTTATTATTATTATTATTATTTTTCCTCACTGGTTTGAAGTGGGCGGAGCTCTGTGGGAGAAAAGTGATGTCACATACGTCTGTGCTCTGAATTAAAACGTCATGACAGCTGTGTGTTGCTTATGTTTCCAGCACAGAACTTCCCTCGCATGTTTAATCATAAAATAAGAAACACACCACAACATTTATATTGACATCTAAATATGCAGAACTGCGCTCTATTTCCCATCCATGTACCAGACATAATAACCTGTCAGCTCACCAGCACACATCTTAAATATCAAACTGTGATTATCACCAACGACGCTCTGCGACTCACTGCGGCTGGAAAACAAGCCACAGCTGCTCGTACAATGTTCCCCGTCCACTGAGACACAAAGAGCTCTTCCTCTGAAGAAGACACCAGCGCTGTTCAGGAAAACACATCTGAAAAAACACTGTCATTTATTTCAATTATGAAGCTGAGCGTTGATGAAACATCAGACTCAGTGAGCTGCTGCTTTTCTGCTTCAACATGAAAAACGTTTCATCTCCAAACAAAAGAAAAGAAAATTTGTTTTTTACTGACACAGAAATCTGTGTGTGGTCAGTAGCTGCAGTCTTATGACTCACACTTTGGATAATTCCTCTGTGTAACAGCCAGAATAATGAATTTTGAGGAATAAATTTGTGCAGCACTGTGAGTGTGAAGCAGCATTTTGCAGCAACAAACCTGAGAAAACAGGAAACTAAATCACATGTCGCCAAAGAAAAACAGATTTGAAAAATGTGAAGTCGCTGGAGAAAACCTCTGAACTCCTCTTTAGCTTCTGCAACTCGGAGATTCGTCTTGGTGAAAGAAAAAACAGCGACACTTCACGGCTGCTCATCAAGCCACTTCAACACAACAACATACAACACACGTTCCCACCACACACTTCAGCGTGCGCCGGTGAACGAATCCATCATACACTTCAATACGATCCCCAGACACTCCACACAAACACAGCAGCTCTTACATGGAAACACAGGCCACAACTTAATAGCCCTCTTTAATCTAATGACTACAGCAGAGTGCTTCACTCACACTTTGGCTGCTCAGCACAAATACAGAAGGACTCTCACCAAACCGGCCTTTCATTTAACAACAACGTAATTGTTCCATCTGCTCTTTAAGGGACCTGTGTTACAGCTGCATTAAAACAAAACAGGACCGCTGCTCCATCAGAGCCCACTGTCATGATCCCACTGACAGCGGCTCTGAACCAGGGCTGGGTGAGATATATATCACAATAGGTGATATATATCTGGATATCTTTTAATTTAACCCTTTGATTTATAAAGAGACGCCTCTCTCGTGTTCCAGTCTGGAGGTAACCACCTGGTTTCTTGTATTTCTGACTGTTCTTGTTTCTGATTTCTCTGCCTGATGATCATTTATGACATAAACATTTTTAATTCTCCTGCGTCAGTTTAACAATGAGACGACTCAGAAGTGAACGTGTGGTTCATGTTCAGTATCTCTCAGCATGTGCTTTAAATACAGCTTCAAGTAGAGCTGCTCAATTCATCAAAATATAACTGAAATCTCAGTTTGTTGACTTCAATATCCAGATCTCAGCAGCTGCAGTTTCTTTGATGAAGGTGAAATGTGTCACATTGTTGAGCATTGTTAGCATTAGCGTTGTTAGCACCATCAGTGTTGCCCCGACCTACAGATCATATTCTCCAGACGTACAGGAACAGAAATCACATCGTCATCAATCATTCAAACTGAAATCACAATCACAATGATTGTGATTGTAAATCATGCAGCACTAGTTTTCAGCCTGTCTATAATAGTGATTACAGACAACATGGAATCAGGAATCGAATGTTAATTCTAAATCAATACAAAGGATGAAGTGACTGCAGTGAGACATCACAGTGTCACACTGACTTCTCTCCCTCACATCCATCATCTCTCCTCCTTCAGAGAACAGCTCCTGCTCTCAGGAAACCTTTTCATTTACGGCCTGAATAGAAGAATGCCTCTATAGACTGAAGTGTTTGTGTGTATGTGTGTGTGTGTGTGTGTGTGTGTGTGTGTGTGTGTGTGTGTGAATTCCTCCCTCTGCAGCTGACAAATGTGTACATCTATAGAAACCAGTGAACCCACTCTGCAGCGTTCAGGCCGGTGGCCTTGGCTGCAGCTTTAGACAAACACAAGCTTTCTACTGACTCCTGTCTCTCTCTCTCTCTCTGTCTGTCTCTCTGTCTGTCTCTCTGTCTGTCTCTCTGTCTCTCTCTCTGTCTCTCTGTCTCTCTCTCTCTCTGTCTCTCTCTCTCTCTGTCTCTCTCTGTCTCTCTCTGTCTGTCTCTCTGTCTCTCTCTCTCTCTGTCTCTCTCTCTCTCTCTCTCTCTGTCTCTCTCTCTCTCTGTCTCTCTCTGTGTCTCTCTCTCTCTCTCTCTCTCTCTCTCTGTCTCTCCAACTACAAACTTGTGCATAATGAAATCTCCACACACACCTTCATTTTTCTCCCTCAAACTTTCATAAACTAATTTTTTAATTTCATCTTTTTTTTGTCTTGTTTGAAAATATTTCAGGAATTATACAGATAAAAGAAAGAAGATCAACACATCTATTGATCAGTTGTCAATTATTAACAGGTACAGTATAATTATAGTGTCTCTCACACTCACACACACACACACACACACACACACACACACACACACACACACACACACACACACACACACACACACACACACACACACAGTAAATCATTTTCTATCAGCCCTATACATCTTTACACCTTCACCATGGCAACTGACGGAGAGGCGACGGCGGCCTTGGCTGCTTTCAGACTCTTATAATGACACTGGCCTTGTCACAACAATACGGCAGAGAGGGAGAAGCTGTGAGAACAAAGAGCTGTAAACCGTGTGTGTGTGTGTGTGTGTGTGTGTGTGTGTGTGTGTGTGTGTGAGACAGTCAGGGTCCTTCTGGAGCTGTACACACAGTCAGAGGAGTCGTGTTCACTGACCCATCTGTTCATCTGCTGAAAGACTGAAGATCTAAAATATCTAATAAAGACGTGTTGGTGGGACTGAACATGAAGTCCAGTGACTGTTTATCTCATTGTTTCACAGCGGCTGACATCTCTTATGTCGTGTAAATACATTTTCAGTTCATAATGAGATAATTCATGATGTGATCTGTGTGTCATCTTTTCTATTCCCTAAAATAACAGTGAAATTCTGCAGCACTGACTTCAGACCAGGTTTTTGTTGGTCAATCACTTTCCACTGACTCAAGGTAACACTGCTCCTGACCACACCTCTCTAAGACCAACAGGCCCGTGGATCAGGCGGGAAAATGAGAAGCGTGTCGTCTGAAACTAGAGAAGACAGGTGTGTCAGGTGTGAGGTAGAGGCCTTGATATCCTTTCTAGTGTTGATAACACAGCTGATCAATAAATGACATTCCCAGTGGAGGCGTCACACGTCAGAGAACAACTTTTCAGCAGCTTCAGTATGAACAGGATGAACAGTCTCTCTGTGTCAGACACACTGCAGCTGTTCACCACGCCCATAAACAGCCTCATATCACACACTGTTTTCATACCTGGACCAAAGCAGCAAACACTGACAGGAGATTGATCACTGCAAGAAGAGCAGCTCAGTCCCAGAACCCTCCACATGTTCCACATGTTCCTGCTTCTCAAACTGAAGCAGACGTGAACCAACAGGCGGCAATTCATCACATTAAATTCAGATTTTCACTGCAGTGAATTAGCCTGTAGCAACTGTCAGACACACACACACACACACTGTTGTACTACATATTGTACACTTACTCAGAAACACACACAGTGTGGAGATGAGAGAGCAGATGTCTCTGTGCTTTGTCATGCAGAACCATGTCTCACAGTGTGTGTGTGTGTGTGTGTGTGTGTGTGTGTGTGTGTGTGTGTGTGTGTTTTCAAGGATGCTGTATTGCACAAATCAGAGGTGCTGTCAGTTGCATGAGAGACCCATTAGGCTGGTTTCAGTACAACACACACACACACACACACACACACACATGAAAGAGAATTATTCAGAGAGCACCTCTCTCTCTCTCTCTCTTTCTCTCTCTGCGTTTATTAAACTTTGATTTGTCTCCGAGCAGCTTTCACTGTATTTAATGCTCATTGTGCTGATGAAATATAATGATAATGAGAGAGAGTGTGTGTGTGTGTGTTTACAGTAAATAAGAGCGCGAACACTAAGTTTGCTGATAAGCTACAAGTGTGTGTGTGTGTGTGTGTGAGTGTGTGTGTGCTCTCTGAGTCTGTGCTCCATGTTAATAAGTCAAGGTGTTAGCGTTAGCTTGCGGGCTGGTGCAGGATGCTACAGGGATAGCAGCAGCTCTCTGCTTCCTCTCCATGCTGCAGAGCCTGAGGCTCTCTCACTTTAACAAACTGCATCAGTCACATAACTCTCTCTCTCTCCTTCCACCTCCTTTAATCTCACGCTCTCCTTTAACAACTTTTCTTTCTTGAACAACTTTCCCTTTCCTTCCCTCTGTGATCTGACAGAACACACAGGTAGCAGCCTGTGCAGGAGGTAATCTCACCTCTCGTGCTTTTACATCTACAACTGAGACACAGACTCCTTTGTATTCCCGCCTTGTGTTGACCAGTCCAGTTTATCTCTGACCTTTTCTGCTGATGACACAGTGGAATGAAATGAAAACCAAATGTTTTGCATAAAATAACTAAAGTAACTGAACATCATGTGCAGAGATGTTCTGATATCAGTTTTTCTTTCCCAGTATCGAGTCTGACATCTGAAGGTCTGAGCACAGAATCATTTTCCCAGCTCTATGCTACTGACCCTGTGAGGATGTGATATAACTGTTATTATATAGTTTATTGTACAGCTCAGGTGAAACCCTTTGGACGAATACATGAGTCACAGAATCTTTCTTTTATTCTCTGATTCGTCATAAAACAATAAATCTTGTATATAATACACTTTCCTTACTCTGCCCCCCCCCCCCCCCCCCCCAACTAAAGCCTTTGTACTGTACATGATGTTGTCTTTGTACTGGTGGGACTTTACATGTTGCCAAATTGCTAACGGCTAACGGCTAACAGCTAACATTACACAAACTACCAAGTGTGAAACTATAAAATGTATTAATAAATGACATGGTATCAGATCATTGAAGAGACTCGTGTACTCGCAGATACTCGGTGCAGGATTTTAGGAAGTATCAGACCTTACAGATACTCGTATCACAGTCAGAACAACTGTAATCATGCTGCAGTTAATGATGAGGAGGTTCACAGGAAAGTAGTGAATGAAAAGCAGCTTGAGGATCAATATCCTGACAGACTGTGGAAAACAAGTGGATTGGCCACCTTCTCTCTCTCATGTGGCTCTTTCTCTCTTAATCTGATATCCAGTCTTTCCTCTCACCTCTCCTTTAATCATAAATATAAATAATCTCCTTTAATCATAAATATTAATAATCTCCTTTAATCATCTCTGCTCACAATCCAACTGCAGCTCAGTGGCTTCTAATAAAGCTCCAAACAAATATCAAATATCCTCATCCTGCCCTTAACTTTCACACTTCTGTGAGTGTGTGTGTGTGTGTGTGTGTGTGTGTGTGTGTGTGTGGATCTATTCCCACATGTCTCTGCTGCTCTCAGGCTGTTTGATTTGACTTCCTCTCTTCCCTCTTTCTTCTCTTCTTTCCTCTCGCCTCAAAACTTTTGCTGTTTATTTTACACTATTTCTGTCAGCCGCCTCTTTCTCTTCATTAATGATTCATACTTTGTCTCTCTGTTCCTCCTCTTTTTCATCTTTCTATTATTCTCTCTCTCTCTTTTCTGAATGCCGTATATGTTTTCCTTCCTCTCTTCCTCTCTCTACTCCTCTTTTAATCAGGCTCTTCTCCTCCACATTAACTCTGCCTCATTATATTCACCTGACTAAGGAGATTCTGGAAGTTCGCCTGCAGTCAGTTTCTCTCTGAGTCTCAGGTGGATGAGAACTCATTATGTGTTCCCAAATATCTGTTTAACCCAGTTAGAGCGTTGGCAGACACCTACGCACAAACGGCCACATCATAATTATTGCCTCTCTCTCTCAGCCGGCTGGCTTCTATCACCTCCTGTCGTCGCAGATATTTTCTGTCACATCCGATGTCCACAGTGTGTAAAACAGCAGGAGCATTTCCCTGGCGCGGAGGTTTGAACACATGTAAATTAACATGTATGAGCGAAGTAGAGAATCGTTCCTCGCTGTGCTACTTTACAGTTTATCTGATGTTTTCATTGGTGAAGTCAAAACACAATATCTGTGTCGCACAAACTGCTCAAGTAGTTTTTTAATCTGTGATTTAAAAATCAGGATGTTTAGAAATCAGATGAATGATTCATACACTACATACACAATGAAACGCGACACCACTGACTTCAGACCAGTGCTTTGTGTTGGTCCATCACTTTCAGCCGCCTGGAGATACAACAACAATGTTCCTGACCACACCTCATTGAAGACGTGTCTGTTTAAGTGAGTTTGCTGGACGGGAGAATGACAACTGTCAGAAACTGTCAGAGACACAGAGCTGGTTGCTGCGGTGACGCACAGTAGAAAGGAATAAATGTAGATCTACTTCCTCTGTCTGCTGCTCGCCCCAGACTCTCTCTCTCTCCTCTCTCACTGTAGCTGCTGAAATCCATCCATTTTGCCACATGTACAGTTTAGCTAGGCAGGTGTTTAGTTATTTTCTCTCATGCTGCGCCTCCCCTCAAGTTCTTTGTCGCCGCCCAGGCACGCTCACTTTCCAACACTTTGAAAACAGTGGATCTGAACCAGGAAGTACGATTCATTATTTGTTAAAAGTAACTAATCATTTCATTTGGTGTCCTCCATGATTGATCCCATGATCCTTCATTGTTTTGAATAACATTCTGTCTGTCAGACAAATGTTCTCTTGCTCCGCTGTGAAAAGCAAACTGCAGAAGCTAGCATGGCGCGCAGGCTAACAACAACAAGACTGCAGCAACAGTGACGCCTGTAGCTGCTAATGTTGTTAGCATCCAGCTCATGTAACGAGCTGTCTCTACGTTAGCCTAAACACACGTTAGCCTACCCAACATCATCGTCACGCTGTTCACTCACCAGGTTCACAGACACAGGTGTGCCGCTCCCATTGGTCAGAACAGCGGCTGTGGGCGGGGCAAGGAGATGAGACGCAGGGGTTGCCAACGTTACAGCCAGTCTCCACTTTGACAGTTTTTGATGGGCGGGGCAGGGGCGGGGCATCAGGCCGTACACCCAACCGGACGCCCTGCAGAGAGACACAGAGAGAGGTTCATGTCTCCAGCTTCCCTCCATCTCCATCCATCCTCACCTGTACACACCATCCTCACCTGTACACACCAGCCTCACCTGTACACATCATCCTCACCTGTGCACACCAGCCTCACCTGTACACATCATCCTCACCTGTATACATCATCCTCACCTGTACACATCATCCTCACCTGTGCACACATCATCCTCACCTGTACACACCATCCTCACCTGTATACATCCTCTTATCCCGTTCTGAACCTCTCCTGAGCCCAGAACTCCTCCCACATGCAGATGTTTCACCTTCAAACCATGAATCTCGTTTCCC